CAACCTGGGCTAGTGGAAGGTGTCCCTGCCCATGGTACGTGGTGGAACAAGATGGGCTTTAAGATCCCTTCCAACCCAAACAATCTGTGATTCCATGATTCTGTGACCCCACAGCTGAACTTGGCTCCTGTGCCTGAGCATCAGGAGTGCTCACCATGGTTGAAAGAGCCAGAATCACTCTCTGGCCAGTCCTCAAGGCCTCTTCTGGCTTTGGCTTTGCTTCCCATTAAGTTTCTTAGTTCAGGAGTGAAGAACAGGAGAAAAGGCAGTTTATGGTGAAAAAACAGCAAGAAAAATCTCCCAGCAGTACAAGGACAAGGCAGATACCTGAGCTGGAGGCTGGAGATGTCCCACAGCTGGGCCTGGGCGCTGCCCCTCCTGATGAATGGGTTTCTTTGCCTTTTTTGTGGAGTTTTTTGTCTGGCTCCAAAATCCTGGACCAGGCCCAGCAATATCAGGTGTGATACTGAGCAGCCACCAGCCATCCCAGCTGCAATTCCAGGCCACCACCATTCCAAGCTTTCCTCCAGCCCTGCCCCGGAGGTGACATGCTCAACATTCCTCTTCGAGTTGCCATTTAATTCTCCTTTTAACTAATTAAAAGCCTTTTGAGTTTTTTTATTTTGCTAGTAATTTGATGCTTTATGTTAGTTTTACACTGAGCACTTAGGCTGGGTAAGACTATTTATTCCTGAGAACTTATTTAATAGGTAATTGCATTTTACTGAGAAAAAAACCCCAACTTATTTTAAAGAAAAATAATTAAAAACATCAGTTTACTCATGATCATGTGGGGATTAAAAACTATATTTAATCAGGCAATGGATTTTTATTATTTTTATTCTTGTGTTATAGCCAGTGTACAGTGGTTTTATCTCCTCTTTGTACTTGCAATAACATATTATTTGACCATGAATCACTTTAATGGATTGAAACATAAGCATGTGAATTGAAAAATAGATACATTAGTCAAATCAATAAATAAATATGAAAATATATTTCTACTATGAAAAACCATCTTGGCTACTGTGTCCTCCAACTTGGACAGAGAAAGCTGAAATATATAGCTGTAAAATATGGCTTGCCGTGTCAACTAGCCAGTGCCTGCAGCCTAAAAGGAATTTTGAGCACTGGGTAAGTAGTATTTCATCAACAAAATCATAAAATAAAGACATTAAAATGAAGGAATGATTGAGTGCTGCAGGACGTTTGTAAAATCACCCTTCAGTCTGGGGCTGGAGTAGTTTAGTATTAGACATTGCATACTTTTCATATAAATTTGCTTACAAATAGCATGTCTTAACAAGCAATATTGCCAGACTGCCCCTGTAGCAAATATTTTTTCACTCTGTTGCTAAACAAACTCTCCTCGTGTATTCCATGGCGTGGCTGCAGTGGGTATAAATAATACATCCTTAATATCATAAAAAAATACAGTGGAAACCTTCACATGGAGTATTAAGACTTTGTAATGATCTAAGACATGTTTTGAGCTCCTAAAAAGCCTTTTTTCACACATTTTTCAGTGTGAAGATCCCTCTGTGTAGTTTTTTGGTCCTGCTTTAAAGCGCATTGGGGTAAATTCAAGTTTTCATCTATCTCAAGGAATCTTGCCTGGATTTACCCCATTTGATAGCAGAATGTGTTCTTTTTCTACTTACATTTGTGTGATCTCTAGTCCAGCAGTGCTGTATCTCCTTATCCAACTTGGGAAGCTGATAAGCAGCCTTTATGGCTATGGATCAGTGTAAGCAGTTCAATAACAGGGGGATGTTAATTGCTCATCTTACACGGTCTAGAAATAAGCAGAGTTCAGTGCCTTTTTTAGCTGACATCGAGTTCAGAAAAGAGAAGCTTTCAATTTCCTTTCAAGTTGCTAATTACCTCTATGAGAGAATGACAAAAATACAGACTTTCGTAAAGTTTATTTGCATTTTTCTACCTTGACATATTATGCAAATATTAAGTTGCCATTTGCATAAGACAAGAATATCTGATCTTATTTTACTTCAAGTCCCTTCAAATGCTGATATAAAGTTAAAACATGAATCAATGTATGTTCTATGTGGTTTATGGGCTGCATTGTCACTTTTTGACTGATACATTTTGCATGTGAACTAGACTTTGTACGTAGCCATCCAAGATACCTTTGCTGAAATGGCTTTGATATGAAATTTGAATGATGAATATACTCAGCATTATCAGCAAGTTGAAGTGGGTTGAGACTTTAGTTTTAAAAACAACTAAAAAAGTCATTTTGAACTAAAGAGCAACAGTTTTTTGTTGGATTGTGGCGTAACAACTGCAAAATATTCACCAAAACAACAGTGAGAAGGCATCAGGGTGAGGTAAAATACTGTTAAAATTAACACTTTAAATTTCTGGGTCAAGACAAGACCTGTTTGCAATTAATTTGGCCTGATGATGTTGCATCTTGTTTTTGGGAGACCCTCAGAGGTTCTTTGTGCTGTGACAAGACCCTGGGGAAGAGCTGGACATCCATCCCTGTGAGGAAGGTTGAGCTGGGAAAACCTCCCAGGATTGGGCCCCAAACACAAATGTCTCCTGAATCTCTGCAAACAATCCCACTTGAAATTATTGTGCAGCTTTATTGTATTTTCAGCAATGTGCTTTGCTGGCAATAGAGAGACAACTTCGGAGGTAATACCCTGGAATCTCTTCCTGTTATAGATGGCTGGAGCTCATAGATATAATGTGATTATTTCTTTCATTAAAGGAACTAAGTAATGTTATTAGATTTGGCTTTTTTTAGTGCATCAAATGGTTTATTTTACCAAGGCAGGAATTATTCTTTTCCAGAAATCCAGAGGTCATTTATTCCACAAAGCACCTTGCGTTTACAGAACAGAGAGACAGCAGCTTTAGCTGTATTTCTTGTGTCTGCTTCCTCATTGCCTGAGTGTGAAAACTTTATTGCTCATTATCTACTGGGCTGTGATGAAGTGACAGATGATTTATTGGGAGCCAAAAACTGTGTTTCAATGGTGAACATTTTTATCCTTTTGTGTTGCAGCCTGCCAACCCCTCTAACTGCTGAGGCAACAAATAAAGAAAACTCACTGCTGGAGGGCCCTGTGACTATCACTCATAAATGTCCACATTTCAGATCCCACTCTGTTTCTAATTTGATTCAATTCCCTTTTGTTGCTTAAAAATTCAATTTGTTTAATTGAGCTGTTTGACAGTAAAATCTGAATTCCATGCATTTTAACCATTCATATTAAATTTCCCTCCACATAGTACTTTTAGTAATGTGCTTTAAAAGAGGTCACTTTAATTTAAATTTGGTGACCTTACAAGCTTATAAAAAGATCTATATGCTATCCTTCTCAAACTGAAATTAAATTGAATAAATGTAAGATAATGTTACAGTAGATATTTCTGACTGAGGTTTTGGAGTCCTGCAGAAATGAAACCTGCACTGGGAAGCCTCAGTGCCCTTTCCAGCCTGTTTTCCACAAAAAACAACGACTGTGGATGAAACATCCTGTGATGGGTCAAATTAACCATTAAAATTTCATGTACTGAAGTTGCAGGATTAGTTATGTTGTTGTGTGTCTTTGTTTAATAAGTTCCCTGACCCTAGCTTGGTTATTTCTATTTATTTTTAGGGAGGGTTACATAGTTTTTGACATTTCAATGGCTGAGCATCTTTCCCTTTAGGATTAATAAGAAATATTGGGAGCGGTGCAAAGACTTTAAGATTTAGTAAACTTTAATCTGTAAAATTTAATAGCAATCTCCAAGTCATTATGAGTATATAGGATGCAGTCTGGCTTTACAAACACTTTTAAGCAGTGAGTTATGTTCCAAGAATGGCTTTGCTGTGTATCATTACGTCCAGGTAAATGCCAGGATGATGACATAATTGGTAGTTGGGAGTAAAATACAACCCCTGTAAAATGTTACTAAGGTAAACGGAGCGGGATTGTAATTCATTATACATAAACATGACTAGGAGTTATTTATCATTTTATGAAATGCAGAACAACCTGAGCTCGCCGGGTTTGGCTGTTTCTTCATTACTTTCCGTGAAATTCTAACGCCGCTCTTTTATTTCCCTTTAATGATTTCCCCCCCCTCCAACCCCACGTGAGGCTCCTTTGCACCGTCCTCCCTGATGTTACTCCTGATATACAAAGTCCTAAAAACTGGCCTAATTAGCAATGATATCCTGCCACTTTCAGACACTGACAAATTTATGACTTTGGATTAAAGGTCATATGGGCATTCCAGCCATTAAACCAGCCCCGTTCCACACTACCTGGAACTGGGAGGAAATCCATTTTTGCACACAGATGCCCGCTCTGTTATTTCCTGCTAAAGACATACAGTAATAGTTTGAAAGCAACAAAAGCCTATTTTGTACCTGTTCAGCTTGCAAGTGTGTTAGCCCTAGGCTACTGTTTAACTTTTAACCCTCTTGTTCACACAGCGTACATGCATAAAACTACAATGTACCACATAATGAAGCAAAGCTCCCAACATTTGTTTTAGACTGTTTGCTATAGGACACGCTTCTCTCCGGTCTTAAAATCAGTTTGGAAAACAAAACAACAAAAAAACCCAAGGTGTCTCACTACGAAATGAGTGATTTTTTTGCCCACGTTTAATAGCAGCCCTGCTATGCTCTCTGTGTATTAACAGGGCTTTCAAGTAAAAAAGAAATAATTCAGCACAAAATGATTTTTGAAGAAGAATTTCTTTTGCAATTCTTTTTCGGTGTCTGATTTTAAACCATTTTATCAAGCTTCCACTATATGTGCCAAACACTCTCTTGTCAGGTGTAGGATGAACTACAGTATAACTGTGAGATATTTCTTTCCCTCATAACAATCTTGAGCCATAGTCCGTGATGAATTATTTGTACCATCACAAGGAAATTCCCCCCTTCTGCACTCAAACCCAGCAAAATTACACACCAATTGTAGCAGAGAAAACATCTGATGTGACAGCTGTATAGCACATGGAGATCCATTGGGCCATTGGTTAATCAGCAGATTTTAATGGTGCTGGGAAATACGTGGTGTCCGGAATTAGAAATGCCTCTGTGCTCTTCACTAATAGGACAAATTTTCTACCTGTAGAGGAAGGATTCCTGCTGTTTAAATGCTTCAAATGTTTAAAATTAAAAAAAAGAAAAAAAAAGAAAAAAAAAGAAAAAAATAATGTGGAAAATCTGCCGTAATTCAGAACACAAAAAGGAAATCCTGTGGATGAGTCAATTATATGGTTCCTAATGATGGTTGAGCCTGGAGGCCTTGAGTGAGGAGGGGAGGAAACAGGGGAAGATTAACTTGGTTAACCTTCTTCCATTTCCCTGTGCCAGGCAAGTACTTTACTTACTGTATTCCCTCCTCTTTAACCCACTGTAGTTGGGGACAGCTTGAATTTCTACAAGTCTTCCACAAATTTAATGTTTATTTGCTCTTTGTTTTTCACATCAACAATTAAAATGATAAAAAGAGCCCAACCCTGTGTTGGAAAGTGGGATTTAGGGGGTTGGGTTGTTTCTACCTGTCATCATTAATGTGTTTCATCAGATGCCCAGGAAAATTAGGCTCACAGTTTTCCTAGGCAGCTCATTATTAGGGATATATCCTAGAAATTAGAAATCCCCCCAAGATTAAAAACAAAGTCTCAGAGGCCCCTGAAGACAGTGGTATCTTTAGTGAGCTAAAGGCCTGGCCAAGTGCAATAATGATAATGATAAATAACCATCATTTATTTTTATACATGCCCATATCATTTAGGACCTCATAGTGCTCCGCAATAAAATCAAAGAAACATTAACTTGAAGTAAACAAATGACAAAACCAACATCAGCAGATGGGCAAATCAACAACAAAAATAAACAAATCAGCAGGTCAGAGGCTCCATAGCAGGGATGAACAAATGGGTTTGGAGCAGGGATTTGGGTGGAATATGCAAGAAAGACCAAATGAAGAGTGAAAGGCTGATTGTCCCCGATGTCCCAGTGTGCACAGCACCCTTGGACACCTTTGGATGACGTTACAGTGCCATTAGTGGCTTTCTGTATCCCAGTTAAAGCTCGTGTTTGCTGCATTGTCTTTTCGTTTTTCCCCCAATCCTGAAGTTCCCCAAACACCTCCTGGACTCCTGGTCTGCAGGCACAGTTGGATGGAGACACCAGGAAACTTAGACTGAGAGGGACTGTGGGAAGGTGCAAAAATCAGGACTCTGGATACGCTTTTTAAAAAAAATCTTATTTGGAGATAATATAAAAGAAAAAGGAAAAGCGTATGAATTTTTTTGGACTTTGGTATAGTGAACATGATTTCCACATCCTCATGTACCAGGTCTGTGAAACTCTCCCAACATTATTCTCAACAAATTCATGGTCCATAGATGAGCTATGGAAAGCATAAGCATTTTTTGTCAAGCCAACAAGGATCTTATTGCTATGTGGAAAATATTTACTGCTATTGCTGATGATTATTTATAGTAGCGTTGAACCTAAAACTTTATTTATCAAATAAATGCTTTCTGGAAAATTGTCTTCTCTGAAATTATGGAAAAAAAGTCTTCATAACCCATTTAATGATAGAAATTAATGGTGATTCATTATTCTCACTATATGGGAGCTAAAGAAGAGGGACTGTACAGACCTGTCATGCCAAGAGACATGAAACCCACTGACCTGTAATAGCAGAGGATTTTGAGCCAAACATAATCTTTTTCTTTTGTTGTTGTTTCAAACCTGTGAAGAGGCTGGAGAGGCAAGGAGGTACCTTCACCTAAGCCTCATTTGGTCTTGAAACACTAAGAAGCAGGAATGCTCATGGAAACACTGGAATTTGCTCCTCCTACCATCCGTCCTTGTGTCCATTTGTGTTTAAGAACAACTCACTTTTGGAATGTGATGATCATCTGCTGAAGATTTAGCTAGAGAGGCCAAATAAGCATTTTATTTTCTTTAAAAAATACTATCCACAGCCTATATAAGGACAAATTTTAGGTGGGGTTTTGGATTTGTATATGCAAGGTCAATATTTCAAACTCATTCTGGATTGAGAGACACTTAAAATATGATATATGTAATTAGAAGCCAGTTAAAAACTAGGTTAAAAAATTAGCTTTGCAATGCAAAAACATGATTCAAATTACCATCTTCAATTACTGTTGTTGTTCCTTCCTTGCTGAAGATTTGTCCTTGCATTCTTGTGTTAACAAGTTTTTATGTATCTGGGAAAAAAAATGAGAAAAGCACCTGTATTTTGACAGTGAGATATCATGAGCCTGCTAAGCAATCTGTAGTTGCTTTATTTAGATTATTTAACATCACAAAAGTAAATAAGTGATGATTGTCAAACAGACAAATATAATACTCTTTAGTGCTCTGGAGTAGCCATAAAGCCTGACTTGTCCCTGAGCTCATGACAACAACTTTGTGACTTTGGACATTGTAAGACTGAGAAACAGCTGTTGACAGACACGTTCCAGGTCACAGAACAAGACTGCATGATCAATAAGCTTGAGAGCAAACTTCAGGGCCAGAAATACAACTCCCAACATTGATATGACAAAAGATTCTGCAAGACATGGTGTGCAGTGAGGGCTCTGTGAGGAGACACCACTAATACTGTGCCACAAAGTCTGCAGGGCTGTGCGAAGGCAGGGACACCTTCCACTAGCCCAGATTGCTCCAAGCCCCATCCAGTCTGGCCTTGGACACTTCCAGGGATGGGGCAGCCACAGCTTCTCTGGGCAACCTGTGCCAGGGCCTCCCCACCCTCACAGGGAAGAATTTCTTCCTCACATCTAATCTAAACCTACCTTGTTTCAGCATTGAAAGCACTGAAACATGAAACAACTAAAACAGTTTTGCTTGTGTTCATAAGCTTTAGGTGTAGACAAGCGATCAAGAAGAAAATATTTGGAAAAATATGAATCATGTCTTTGGATGTCCACATTTTGAATTTCTCAATCAGATTGTTTTGAATGATGCTTCACAACACTTCACAACCTGCTTCACTTGGCAACCGTGTAGACGGCACTAAAATTGGCATTGGCAGTGCCAGAGTTTCATAGTTTGCAGAGAGACACTTGAAGGAATGAACGGGCAGGTCCATCTGTTGATGGAATTTATGGGAATTACTTGAGAGCTGCTGTGAGAGTGAGCTCTCATTTGCCTCCATTGTACACCTCCTTTGCTTTGCTGAGTTTGTGGGCACAGGTGGCCCCTAAATCCATGCTTGAGGGAGCTTTTTGAGAGACAGTGAATAGCAAAAGGTGGAAATACTTTATTCCAATGATTTATCCTGAACATAGAGAGTGAGCTCGGTGTTAGATCTAACAGCACCATCACTATATATAACCTCATCAAGGTAAACACTGTGTACAAGAAGGTAACAGCTGAAAATTGGGAATTTACCTTGGGAAAAGCAGGACCCTGCCTGCAGGATGCTACTACAGCACCCCTAGCCATGCAGCAGCTCCTAGGAGGGCTTCTGTTACAAGGGTTTATTTTCCATGTTGTGTAACTTGGCAAAAGCAATTCTCTCCACACTCAGACTTGGCATTCCTGATCTCAATCTGTATGGAAATGTCTGGTAGATTTAAAAAGAAAAAAAAATGAAATTGTTCTGTTTCAAAATTGCAGAAAATAAAGATAATAAAAGAAAGGAATAAAAGGATGTTTTCTCTTTGCTTTTTAGTGCTCCTTGTCCTTCTCTCCTTGAGACCTAAATGTGCAGGGAACTTTGTACATGCAGAGCCTCTTCATGATTTAAGCCTAACTGAAGTTTGGGTGTCCAATATTTAAATATTACTCAATACTAAAACAAGAAGCAAATCTAGCTTTGACTTTAAATTCAAGTTCTTGTACTTTCTCTGAGTTTGGAGTGATCACACCTGAGGTCTTGGGCTGAATTCAACCTAATAAAAAGTGCTATATTCTATTTTTGAATTGGGAAGGTGTTATATATGTTTAAGCTTCTTAGTACGGTGAGACTGTAAAAAAGACAAAATCCTTCCTGTTGCTTGATTTTAAAATAGAGTTTTCCTAAAAACCATACAGCATTTTAGGCTGTGTTCTTGAAATAACTATTAAAATTATGCCATCACTATTTTGCATGTAAAAGGTTGATTGCACTGAAACAGTTCAGATGTGCAAAACCAAATGCCTGTGCCCCATGGCCCGTGTGAGCAGGTGACAATGCACAGCCCCTGCTACCCAGCACACTGCATTTCAGCTTTCTGAATGTCATTTTATCAGCAGAACAAGCTTGTGAGCTCTGAAGCCCCAGACATTGTCAAGGCTTGTGCAGATGTTTAGTCATAAGCACCTTGAAGAAGTCTGTGGTTGTGTCACAGAATCATGGAATTGTTTAGACTGGAAAAGTCCTCTAAGACCATCAAGTCCAACCATTCCTCCAACACTGCCAAGGCAACCACTGACCCATGCCCCCAAGTGCCACATCCACACAGCGTTTAAGTTCCTCCGGGAATGGGGACTCCACCACTGTCCTGGGCAGCTGTGCCAGGGCTGGACAGCTCTTTGGGTGAAAAGCTTTCCCAATATCCAGTTTAACCCTCTCGTAATGCAACTTACAGTCATTTCCCCTTGTCCTGTCCCTTGCTCCCTGGGAGCAGAGCCCGACACCCCCCTGGCTCCCCCCTCCTGTCAGGGAGTTGCAGAGCCAGAAGGTCCCCCCTGAGCCTCCTTTTCTCCAGGCTGAGCCCCTCCAGCTCCCTCAGCAGCTCCCAGGGCTCCAGACCCTTCCCCAGCTCCATTCCCTTCCCTGGACATGCTCCAACCCCTCAATGTCTCTCTGGTCTGAGGGTCCCAGAACTGCCCCCAGCACTGGAGGTGCCCAGCAGTGCCAGCACAGGGACAGTCACTGCCCTGGGCTGTGACACACCATGGCTGGTACTGGGGCCATTGGCCTCTTGCCCACCTGGGCACACCTGGGATCATGTCCAGCTGCTGTCACCAGCACCCCCAGGGCCTTTTCCACCAGGCAGATTTCCATATCCTCTTCCCCCAGCCTGTACTGCTGCCGGGGATTGTTGTGACCCCAGGGCAGGACCTCATACAAATGCCTCATTCCATGGATCCAGCAAGTCCAGATCCCTCTGTAGTGCCTTTCTGCCGTTTCCAACACTTGCACCAAACCCAGTTTCTGTATTTCCAAGGCATCCCCAGCAGTGCTACAAGTGGCACTGGTGGCCACATGAATGTCCTCCCACAAGGACATTGTCCACCCACAAGGAGCATGTGTGAGCTGCAAAGACATGTCCCTGCCTCTCCCTGATAGTAGGGCTTGTGAAAAGTGACTTTTGTGCTGGCCTGGCCCCCCAAAAGGGGAGAAACCCTTTAGTTTCACTCTTTGCAATCCCTTTTCTCATTTGTGCCTTCTAAACAAGTGCTGTTGTTACAGAGTTTGGGAGAAGAAAATCCAGACTCATTATAAGGGTGAAGGTATTGCGGTGAAAGCAGCTGTCAGTTAAAACCATATGAAGTCTTTGAAAACTCAGGTAATCCTTGAAAGGGATTGAAATTATATAAAGAGAGTGGCAAACTATTTACCAGGTACTTGCACAGCTCAGAGGTTCATAGAATCACAGAATATCCTGAGTTGGAAGGGACCCACAAGGATCATCCAGTCCAACTCCTGGCCCTGCCCAGGACATCCCAACAATCCCCCTCTGTCCCTGAGAGTGTTGTCCAAATGCTCCTTGAGCTCTGTCAGCCTTGGGGCTGTGACCACTGCCCTGGGGAGCCTGTTCAGTGCCCAGCCACTCTCTAGGGGAAGAATCTTTTCCTGATATCCAACCTAAACATCCCCTGACACAGGTTGTCCATGTTACTGATACTGTTCATATAATTTCATCATTAAAACATTTTTGGGTGCCTAAAAGCTTGAAATAATTTTTGTTGTAAAAGTATCTCGGATGAGTTTGTAGTCTCCTTCCCAGGAAGTGCTCTGGGACTGTAGTTATTATCAAGGGATTATTTGGTCAGGGGCAGAGAAATCAAGGTAAAAGAAAAAATGTGTGAGGCTAATCTGCACGTGTTTTCCTCTGGAAAAGGATTGCTCCCATGCTTATGTGGCAAGGCAGGGATGGCTGGGGGGATCAGGGCCACTGAGGCAGCATTGCCCTGGACCTGAGTCTCCCCAGGATCTGCCACTGCTCCTCTCCCTTCCCGCAGCTGCCTTTATGTCCCAGGCATAAATCCTCTTTACTCGGGCTTTGTGTCTGGGGGCCGGCAGCAGCGTTTGTTCCCAGACGAGGTGCAATGCTGGGAAACCGTGGGCGGGGGAATACATGCATATCTATATGTATTTATACAGGTATAAATGCATTAATATCAAATATATGCACCCCCCTAACCATGCGCAGACACTGAGGGAGATTTTAACTCCAAATTGTCAGGCTTTAATAGATTTAAATCAGGCTCTGAACGCTATTTTAACATATTTTTTTGTGCGTGTTTAGTAACAACAGTCATCTTAAATTGTAGTGGCACATGGCCAGAGGGAAGAGAGGTGTTAATGAGACTCACTATAAATGGAAGGAGCTCGGGAGTGACAGTTTTCCGGAGCACTGTTGGCATCGGATCGAAGAGACAGGTGGTGGCACAGGGCTGACCGATCACCTCAGATAATGATGAAAGAGGAGTGACAGGGGTGAAAGATTCAAGGACCACTGAAGAATGGCGAGGGGGAAGGCAGGGGCCATCAGCCAGCCCCGACAGGCTCGGCCGGCTCCCCACGCGCCGCTCGCGCCGGTGAAATATGAGAGGGGCTGATAAGGGGGAAGCAGAGTATTATCGATATCAGATGTGGAAATGAGTGGACTTAGTAACCTATCCACCATTTGGAGTAAGTATTTACGGTTTCCATGACCAGAATCAATCAGGTTTGAAATTCATTCTTATTTGGCAGAGGAAATGTGCACTTAACCTTTACATTCGGGGTCTCCTGATGAATATTGACCTAGAAAAATATCCCAAAGGTGTTCGGTCCGACAAAAAGTTATTTAATAATTTGGTAAATGATTGCTGTGCCACGGGGACTAAATATTTAGATCAGAAATCCTAACTTTAGATGGGTGCCGGACCAAGGTGCAGATTATTGCTACACTGAGAGCCCTCCAACCTCTCATCAACCAGCCATAAATCAGGGGGATGGAGGAGTTCAGACAGAGCAAATTCTGGTGACAGCCACGTGATGGACTCACGGGGGAGAAAATGAAAATTCATTCCCTGACAACCTGCTACAGGCTGCAGGTATGGCAAGGGGGAGAAGCTAAATAGATCTGTATCAGCTGCGAGGATGGCAGACCCCCAGCATATGGAAATGCACTGGGAGGGAGGTGAAACCTGGAGCTGCACACAAAATGCTCAGACGTCAGAGCGGCTGAATCACCTGAGCAAAGATTATATAAAAATGTAAATTGCCTGCTCCTGACCCAATCACGTTTAAAAATGAAGGGACAAAGAGTGACAGGAAAGGTGCTATTATTACAGATTCAGGGTGATGCACAGTCACTGCTCAGATTCCTCTTTGGCAGCGGTTGGGAGGCAAGCTCAGGCACTGCGAATAATTCCCCTGCAACTGCCCTCTCCTATTAATACACCCGATCCAAAGGCTTTGGGGATGAAGGAAACGATCCCGTGGATTTGAAGGGGCTTCTGAGCAGGATCCATGCAAATCTGCTCTATGCGAGGATTTCAGGCCCTGATTTTTTTAATCTAACTCAACTTACTCCAGATTTCCAGTGTGCAGTTAAATATTAAATTCACTTTAAGAAAGATTATTTTATAAAGCTGTTCTTGCTTATGTGAGAGTAATGAAGTCAAAGACGAACAGGAATTGCTCTGAAAGGCACAGGCTGCTTGGCTTTACAAAAGATCTCACTAATGGGTTAGATCAAGTATTGCTATCCCTAAAATTAAATGCCAGTGTTTAAAACTCCATTTTTATAAGAAGAACTTGCTATTAATAATTTTTAAGGCTCTTGATTAAATAACTAAAAATGCATTATTATTGGGTTCATAATTACTTTAAAAATGTTCAGGTTTTGGTCATTTTCCCTGCATTATTATGGCACAGAGGCAAAATTTCACTCATATATTTGACTTAAATGACAGTCTTTTGGGATTTGCAACAGAAATTATAACTTCTGCTGCAATTTACATGTTAAGTTCTGTAACCCCGTGATAGTTCAACCATTTGTAAAAGAACAGTAGGTGGCCTACTGGTCTAATATTCAATGAATAATTTTATCTTACATCAGGCACGAGGTCCAGTTTAATGTTTCATTACATTAAAATTGCACTGGGTGACATAAACTTTGTAATTAAAAGAGCATAACTTTTCTGAAATGCTGTAGATGAGTCTTATGAAAAATCAGCATGTTTAATCACGCTGCTATAAAACGAGGCTACTTTTGTGTGTATGAGGTGCTACCTGTTGACGTGTTTGCCATCACTGTCTGTCTGCAGCACTTGGTAATTTAATTCTTTGATATTTTGCATCCAAGAAGTCACACTTCATGGGTAAATAAGTAAAAATATGTGAAACATAGAAAACAAGGT